AATAAGCATTTCTGATAATCCTGTTTTCACGTGAACCATGAAACGGGACACAAATACGCAATCAAAGCTAAATTGATCTTTCAGCCATTTATTGAGCAAGTCGTCCATATTATGATTTGCAAGAGCGTTTGATTTGGACAGTATGAAAAGATAGTAGACGCAATAAAAGATCTTACCGCATGAACAAAGCAATTTAGCTTGGTAGAGTTAAAATCGCCATGGATCACGATCTTTGTGGATGGGATCTGTTGTACATAGCACGGAGGCCGTAGCCATTTGGACTTAGTCGATAAGTCGGTCCGTCTAGGCATTACCTATTATTGTACAGCCTATAGAGGCACCCATAAACGCGGGGATGGTCGTCGCTGTCTATGCACAACCAAAGGATGGACAGGTCCGTACCTTCAAGACTGGCGAGGAGTCGAGAACTGATGTCCTCACGAATGTGTACGTAAACTTCAGCCCGGTGCACAAAGGAGTGTTCCGATTTGTACTCCTGGTAGGATGCTGCGGCCATCGTCAGTAACCACGCAGAACATGGAAGCAAATCTTCTACTTTATGCTGGTATTCTGTGAGGTCTCCTCGGTTCGAGTCATTAGTGCGACAGCAAAAACTTGTCGCGTGGCTTTTTGATTAAGTCGTTTTAGGAAGTTCTATAGTACCTATAAAACTTCCTCAAAACAGTTCATTAGTAACTATATTACTACTATTATACTATATTTTTTATAGAATAAGAGCATAAGCGAGCACATAGTTCACCTGATGGTAAATGGGTGCTGTGGCCCATAGACATTTATGTCTGTCCTCGATTAAGAATCAAAATGCATATGCGTTGCCACCCGTGGAAACCAAGATGTATTGCCTCGTTTCCAGTAAAAAGGATCTCTTGTTTTCTACACTCACCATCAACTTAACTCTTTTTTATGAAACGATCTTTTGATTTATTTCATTTCTTTATCTATGATATTTTAAAATTTAACTCTAAGAAATATATTAAATATTTTTTTGTCATAATCATAAAAAAGTTATATTTGCCGTAAACAACAATGTAGTTTAATGTTTTGAGGCACAGACGCATGCAAAAAGGTTGTAGCAGGAAATCTATAAAAACGAGAGGTTTACCGGTGTTATCCAATAAAGTTGTGTAACACTTTGAAAAGTTGCGGAAAGAAGCTCTTCCGAAAGGAAACCCTTACTTTATTCGACCTTTATCAAATAAACTGAAAATGTGTGAATGTTACTTTAACTCATTTTTGCGAACACTACCTCTTGCCTTTTTGATTTCAAAACGGACTTGTAAACTTCTTTCTTTAAAGTTGTTTTCATCTCTACGAGCTGCAATAGTCGCTTTTCCCAGTGGACTGTAAGCTCATTTACGTTAGGAAAGTGAAAAATCTCGGAAAAAGTAACAGAAAAGTACGATACGGATACGAATCTGAATATATTACATATATAAGCTATTTAGTTCAACTTAAATAAATTAGCTTTCAACGGGCTTGTGTCTGCACCAATTTGTGTATATATATATATATATATATATATATATATCGATCATACGATATATATATATATATATATATATATATATGTAGTTAAGAGCCCATCGAGCAAAATACTTCAAAACGATAGTCACTGTTAAGTGAAATTATCCTTTATGGTTATAATAATTAATATAAAAATATTTATTAAACATCACTAAGAATGTATTTACCTTTATTACGAAGCAAAAATAAATAAATATCTTTAGTTTCTGTCTTAAAAATTCATAAAGTTAGACAAAATCCTAAAAATGGTATGTTGCCATTTAGTTAAATTTTCATCGAAATTAGTTCAATTATTTCAAAACATGAAATTCATATAAATCTACAATGTATGCACTACAATTCGCCTTTCTTACATTTTTTAAATTTGGCTTCGTGATTTAGTTATGAATTTTCTAAGAAGCATCCCAAATTCGCCATGCATTGTATGTATGAACTCTGAATATAAATATAAATTCGAACGCACGCGCTCGAGAAAACGAGAAAGCAGTCGACCGCGGGAGCTCAGAGAGGGGATTGTCTGTTTTCGGAACGACGTGCCTTACCCAAATTTCGCGATCTATTAGTGTACGCATATTGTCCTGCAGACGGAGTAATAGCTAATAGGGTAAGTCATTTTTAACAATTTTCTGATTTCATTTATTTTGTAATCTTTTTAATTAGAATTTTTTATACTTTTACTATTACTAATCATTATATATATATATATATATATATATACATATACAATATGTAACGTAATTAACACACACCCTCAGACACCACAATTAGTATATTATCTTATAATCATAATACATACACTGAATTTTTAGTTAAACATTTTTATGCACTGATTATTTTATCAAATAAATAACCTATATTAGAAACGATAGGAATTGATTCAGTATACGATTCTGAACAAACTACTTTCTCAAAGTGCGTTAATTATGTTACATGTTGTATATACATAAATAATAATAAACAAAAAATGTTATTTTAAATATAATAATTTTTATAATTTGTTGTAGAAAAATGGGGAAGCGTGAAGAAAGATATTAAAAAAGTGGTGCTAGATTTAAAAAAAAAAATGGATTGCTCACAAGATTACTGTTAAAATTACCCAAAATGATTCTGAAGAAATTAACCACGTAAGTGCTTTATGACAAAGTTATATGTGTCCTGTGCCTCAAATTCAGTCCCTATTTACAATTCGGACTTTGCGCTGCAGGAATAAAAAACCAAACTTGTATCAAAATAGGCTACTATAACTTTATTTTTTGGCTATAACTTGTAAAACAATGGTGGTCGACCTCTCATGATTAGTCTCAAATGAAATGTCTCAGCAAGCTCTACTCGTTTCTCACGTCAATTTGTTTTGAGCTATAATTAGTAAGCCAATGGTAATAGAGACTTAGTGTTTGGTCTCAAATAGGAGGTTTCGACAAGTTCTACATGTTTCTCATGTCAGTTTATTTATCAATTTTAAAGTGATTATAAAGGTTTTATAGAGTTTAATAACTTCATCCACACCATGATTGTTATATCGACAGTAGTGTAAACCATATCCACGCCGTTTAGTTTGAAAATGTTAAATAATACTGACGTTTATGATGTCAATATTAACGATGATGTTGTGGCTAGCTTTATGTCAATAGGAACAGGTTTTTCTGGTTTAGAACAAGTGTCTGCTTCCCTTAATATTGCCAGTATGTCAGACAAGCTGTACATAAAATGTCATAATAAAGAATGTTAACTATGGGAACTTACTAAAGGAAAATGCATGAGCGAAGCTGCAAAGGAGGAATACAATCTAGCTGTTCTCAAAGGGGAAGTAGATGTAAATGGAGTTCAGCTGATAACTGTGGTTGCTGATGGTTGTTGGTTAAAACGGTCATATAAGAAAAATTACAATGCTGTGCATTACAATGCAATGACAAAAAAGTTCTCTACATAGCGATTAAAACAAATATTGTATAGTTTGTACTAGAGTATATTGGACTGAAGTAGACATGAAAATTGAATTCATAGAGGAAGTAGAGAGGTTGGTGTAAAATGAAGAATAAATTGAAAATGTTTTATTTTAATTGTTTACTACCAGAAATGATTGGTTTCCGGTTAGACTGACAAATGGAAATACGAGAACCGAAATATATCCTTGATGCAATAAACATAAAAGAAACGAAACGGATAATGACAGTAAATAACACACCGAAACGCAAAAATATGGTCAAATAAGTTATTTTCGAGTAAGTGTGGGAGGTGAGTATTTACTTAAGAGCATTTTACAATGCTTAGATTGATTTCATTCCTAATATGTAGTCAAAACTACATATTAGGAATGAAAATGTTTTTTTATTGTTCTTATTCCTTTTGCCACAGATTATATTATTAAAATGAAACAAAACTGTTCTGCAACTATGTAAATGTTTTTTTTTAATGTTCTAAAAACTGAAAAAAACTATAATTTTATTAGTTTCAAATTGTATTAAGATTGTTTAATGTGAAAATAAAATTAACATAATTCAAAGATACTTTTATTTTATATTAAATATCTAATATATAAGAAATTTAAAAATTATAAATCATTATCAATTCCCTTCCCGACCTGATAAATCACTGACAATGATATGGGATCCCCGTGCGATTCTTTTTGAGGCCTGTGAAAATAAATAGCTTCGGACTTGCTTAACAAAACTTACGATGGGATATGGCTTTTGACTGAACTGAAAATCAGACGCTCGGAGTCTGTGGAGAAAAAAAGACATCGAGTTGAATATAACGATGGTCCGACAACAATTCCACATTCTCTAAAACTCTCCAGCCACGAATGCGGCTTGCTACGGCAGGGGATACAAACGAGCCGTATACAATAAATCCGCCCTGTCTCCGCACCCATGTGTAGACCAATTCCTGATTCAGCACTATTAGGCCCGTTATAGTTATCCAGTCTTATAGTGCCTCGGCAAGCGCATCAGTTCAAGAGAACCCCAGACAGTAGATTTTGCGTTAAGGTCCCATATGAAAAGCACTGGTCGAAGTAGTTTTTCCCTAATAAGAGCCCTCAGTTCGCTTAAGAACGTCTCAAATTCAGCACGGCATCTGTTTGGAAACAAGTACACTACGATGAAAATAATTTCCCTTCACTGGATCGCCTCATATCTCTTACCCTCGCAACTATTGTGCTGGCAGCCGTCGACTATATGATAGCCACTAGTTCATCGATGTCATCTACCCAGTAGTTCCGGAACCGACGAGGTATGGCTCGCCGACCACCCTCAATTAACCACTGTACTATGCTCTGCATAAGCAAATCCTGTGCACCAGCACAGTGGTTGATGTTGGCCTGAAGAAGACGATAATGGTAATTAATTGTGATCATGTTAGTGGAATGCCATCGCCAATAGAGAAACTATTAAAGGTTGCGTAGTCAGGGTCCTTTCTTCCACAATAACGCCCTTTCTTTTTTTGTTTGGAGGCGATCACCTCTTGCTCCCCAGCACGTGGTCAGCCGCCTTGTTCGCTGCAATACACAGTGAAAAGTTGGGCGTAGCCGTGCACTTCGCGAACTTGTGGCCAGCCTGGCCACAGCGGTAGCAGTCATTGCTACGGTCCACCTCTGAACTGCACTCGGCACACACATGTCCATTATGCAGGTATTTGTAGCACTGCAATAGTCTAGATGACAATATTTTCACCTGTGCTGGCACCCATCTGATCAAAAAGCGCCCACCTCCTTCAATTTTATTGGTTGCAGGTACCGGGCAGCTCACCCAGATGGTACCGGTGTCAGAGCTTGTTCTGCGGATTTCACCTATTTTCACCATTTCTGCAGGACACTCACTTCGCTGTGCAATGGCAGTGACAACTTCCACTGCGCTGATGGAGTCATCCAGACCGGAGATGCGCAACTCTGCACATTTTGTTGGTCTAGATACTCGTGCCATCTCCTGAGACAACGACTCCTTTAATATTTTAGCCGAGGGAGTCTGCTTTTTCGTTGCTCCTGGTACGTCTAAAATACAGGCTCCAGTGGCCGCCTGTCAGTACCGCAGAGATACCAAGGTCACCGAAGTTAATCTTCTTTCTAGTCTCTGTCAATACCTTTGCACATGTGAGACCACGATCTTCAGCCCCGGGCTGCAGTGTCATAACTACAGCCACGGATTTTGGAGAGCGCGGTCTCACAGATGCTGGTCTCTTGGAAGGATTGAAAGAGCCTTCCTTGCATTTACTACCTCTTCTTATTATTGTGGTACATCCTTCTTGTGTGGACTCACGAGGTTGAGGAAGAGATCCTGTTGGCTGGTAAGTTGCTATTTCTATGGTTCTCTTCTCATGTCCCTTTCTGTTTTCCCTTTGTATTTCCGGCGCAGGCATTTTCTTATTGCCTGTTCTTGTTTAAAGGCGTTTTTGTTAGCCTTAGTATTAGTAACAGACTTCCGTCGTATATCTGCATCATTTTATACAGCTCTGCACTCATCAGCAGCCAGCATCAGAGAGCTTGAAGAGTGGCATCTTATCAGAGATGCCGCTCTTCAAGCGCCTCCAATCACGCATTCATCATGTCGTGAACCTGGCACATAATGGAACTTATCAATTCCTCACTTTCCTTGTGTTGGAGGATCAGGAGTTTTGCTTACCCCCGCCACTTCAAGCCGGATTCCAGCTAGTTTACGCAGCTCCTCTATTTCACTGCGCAGGAAAGTATTCTCAGTCTGTAATTTCATCGTTTCATCATTTACTGACCTCCTATGTAGAACATCCACGACTGTTTTTATTGACGTGGCTGCATTCTTTAAGGCACGTTGGAATATACTTTTTATATTTCTCGCCTTGACTGCTAACGTCAGTATATGACTTCGATATCGTCGAGAACCTGTTGGTAGGTAGACAGCCTCCGGGTAGTCCGTTTCTGATTAGCAGTGCAAGTTGTTCCACTTGCCTCTCAGCTATATTAAGAGCTTCCTCAGGCCCTGGCATTACGAACTATCTAGATTTGGGGTCACCTCTTTTCTTGTTTCAGAATTCGTCTCTTTTAAAAAACTTTCATTGCCGCTATATGATACTGATTTCTCTTTTCGCCCCACAGGAGCGGCCTTCAGGCTTAGAAGATTTCCTCGTTACTTCGCTACGTAGGTTTGCATCTGATTCCGATCCAGCCTGCTTTTCTGCCTCTATTATTTTAAGATATTGAGAGTTTTCCCATCAGCCATGTAGCTCCTCACGGCGTGCTACGCTTAAGCTTCGGATGATTTTTTAAAAAGTGACTCCAGGCGGTTCAGACCAGAGCCCTCTACCCCTTAGGCACCGCGAGACATGATCCACGACACACCGGAGGGTTCAAACGGTGGCAGAGTCGATACGGGTTCATCCTATGCCTGCCCAGAGACCGATTGAGGGAACACTGAGCCCATTCAATTTTCTTTTTTTTACAGGGTGTGTCCCTGAAAACACCCCGATGACGGGTTGTCCGGCGTCGGCAAAAGCCAAGTGCACCTAGCAACCTACCGCGCATGTCACATCCTCTATTCCTATCAACAGAGAGGATACGGGATGCAACTAGTAGGGCCTCTAATCTCCAAACAAACTCTCAGTCATTTTGATTCCAATGCGAAACAAAGGTACGCCGAAACCCAGCCCGTTATGGTCCGCGACGGTTTTCCGCTACCACTCATATCTGAGTGGCGTTCCCTTATCCGCCGCCTGGGGATTCGCTCGATGGGAGGACTGGCAACTCTACACGGGGTCGTGAACCATACCTAGCGCAAACATTTTGGAGTACTTAGTTAGTAGTTAACGAGCGTATTATTTGAGGTTAAAGTCTTACTAGTATTCTCGTTTAAGTTTGATGGAGACTTTATTTTGAAGCTTTGTCATTTGTTCCATGCTGTGTATGTAAGTATTAAAACATAAGACTGGTAACAGATGTGGATAAAGTAAGATCGGTTTATTTGCGCTATTTAAACAGTGTTATGTCATATGGATTTTTTTTTGAAAAAAGCAAATGATGCTGAAAATAATTTAATAAGATCAAGAGACTCTTTCAAAGATTCTCTTGAAGAAATTAATATTTAACTGTTAACATATTGATTTCTTATATTTACGCAAACAATATACATTGATTAAAACTACTTTTACGGATTTTATCGCATTTTATTTAGCACTCCCAATCCCCCGTGACCATGGGTGCTGGAAAGCACCCGAAACGTCGGGTAGGTATTTAAAATAAATAAAACGCGATAAAATCCGCAAAAGTAGTTTTAATCAATTTAACTGTTAATTAATATTACATATTAAATTAATATTACACATAATTTTGGATAATATTATATATGTAAAAAACATTTTACGTTACGATGGTTATCAGCGTACAGAACCAGAGAGGTGTAAGAAGACAGGGATACGATATATCCTCGGAACTCTTCACCGCTGCATTGGAAGACGTTTTCAAGCAACTGAACTAGAAAGGATACGGTATTTACATCAATGGCAAGTACATCACTTACCTTCGATTTGCCGACGATAGTCTTTAATGGCAGAATCGCTGGAAGACCTAAGCACTACGCTCAATGACCTGAATATTGTTTCCAAACCGATAGGTCTTGAGATGAAATGGACAAAACAAAGATCATTTGTAACGTCTACGTGACACCTATGCCGGTATTTATTGGGAGCACTACGCTCGAAGTTGTTGACGAGTATGTTTATCTGGGACAAATAGTTCGACTAGTAAGTCCGACTTCGACCGAGAGGTCAACCGACGGATTCAACTCGGCAGAGCAGCTTTCAGGAAATTACGAGACATCTTTTCGTCATGTATACATCAAAAAGTGAAAACGCGATTGTATAATCAGTGTGTGTTGCCAGTGATGACCTATAGATGGATAGACATGGTCCTTTATTACTGGCCGTATGAAGTCACTCAAAGTTACTCAGCGAGCTATGGAGAGGGCTATGCTCGGGGTTTCATTGGGGTGACACCCCGTTAGATAGAGTGACGACCTAGTAAGATATGCAGGAAGTCGATGGATGTCTGCATCATGCATCATGGCTCAGAACCGTGATTTCATTGGGGGAGACCTATGTTCAGAAGTGCACTTGTGAAGGGCTGTAACGATGATGATGATGTAGAAACCATTTTACTCTCGTTAAAGTTGAGTTCGTAGATTTTCATGCCTTCGGCAAAATTAGTGATGACCATAATTTTAACGCGCGAAAACAAAATTACTTTTCCAAAGTACAGTTTAAAAAGCAGATCAATAAAACTATATGTAATGATATAATAAAATAAATAGATGATTATTTAAAACATCAGAATGCGAGGAAATAACAAGCTTCCTTAAATATTTATTATATCTACATATTTTTATATGTTGCAGCTTTACTGCAGCAATATGATCAAAATTATTTTAAAACGTTCCATATTTTTAATGTTACAACATTAAATTTTTTTATAATATTGGAATGACTACCTAATCGCGATTAGCCATATTACGGGCCGATCCTCATTATAATGTCGTTCATTATATTGTCATATGATTGTGCATTCATACTATCTGGTAACAGTCAAGTTTTGGTCGAATCAAATTCCATTATAATAAATCAGACGGAGATCGGACCGAGAAAGAACTGTGAACGGCAAATGAAGATCGGCCCTTAATTGACACCTGTAACCTACTTATTCAAACAAAGAAGCTAACGACACCTCCAAGGTCTAAGGTGAGAACGTCTCAAGACCAGTAAGTAGTTATTAATTGGCTTTAATTGCCATAATTTAATTAGCCTCGCTTACGAACAACGTGTTAGAGGCCGATCCCGTTTGACTTTTTAAAAAAGAAACACCAAATAAACCTAAAGGTTTATTGCAAAAAAAAAAGTTCACACCAAATTAATATAGTCCTTGACTTCCGAACTCTAATAAGTCTCGGAATCTATGTCCGATCTACCCGGGGCTCTGAGTCTAACTGAACTTTAAAAATGGAAAGAAACAATATATAACAATATAATTGCTGACTATAGCTATATTAAGGAAAAGTACCGTGTGATTCAATGAATGCTTACTAATATTTTGTTGTCTTGTAAAAAGGGATATAACAGCTCCCCCCTTTTGACTGAGCTTTTTCTAAATTAAGATAAAGCGAAGATTCGAAATAGAAAAGCGATTAGAGGTCGGAAGACATTACAAATTATGAAAATAGGAAATTAAAATTTGTGGTAAAATATTGCAAATCAATCTCATAACAATGTAAAAACTTTCGAATTAAATTTTACATAAAGATACAATAGTATTATTCGTTAACTAAGTTATACAAAAGAGACAGAGTAGAATTCAAAAATAATCAATTTAAAATTAAGGAATAAAATTATACAAAAATGAATTATTTAAATCTAAAATTAAAAGTATTTTGAATGAAATAGTAAAATTAGAATTTACTTGTATTAAACAAGGTAGTAATTTCAATTACAATTACATAGATTGCATTTAAAATAGCAATTACAAAATATAAAGTGACAGAGTAGAAATTAAGATTATATGATAATAAAATGTGATTCTTTTTGAAGATTATTTAATTCAAACTCTAAACTATCCAGTTGATGATTTGCATATTTTAAAGAATCCAAGTTAACTTTGCTTAAAGAGATTGGTGTTAAATATGGTAAACTTTTATTAAATATGTCCTTTTTGCAACAATCATCTTTCGTTATATCAAAGCTTATATCTATTGTTGATTTGATCGAAAATTGGTAAGTACTTGTTGGCAATAATTGAATAGTTTTGGAATAACCAATACAATTTTCGGTTAATTTGACAATACCTGTGCCAATAATAGAATGATCAGTAATGTCGTCATCACATTTGATAGTTAATTTGTTTACATTAGATTGTACATAGATCCATCTATTATTTTTTAATTTATGCCAAATATTGATTTGGCCAAATAATAACTTGGCGTTACACTCAGAAGGTAGGGAAAGAATTACTTCTGTTAGTAATTTCGATTCACAATTAGGATTATTTACACTAGACGTTATAGTTAATAGTTCACAAATAGAGTAGTTATTATTAATGAAATTACAATCATCTAAGTTATTAAACATAGTATAATGTATTCTATCGTCACTTAAAGCAATATAAGAATTAGAAGGTTGAATAAGTGCAAAAGTTTGCATATTATGTGACTCGTCGTGAGGAGTCGGTAATGGGATATTTTTATAAACAGTGAATTTATCAGGTGTTATCAGTGGAATTTGCAAACTGAAAACAATCTTATTGTTATAATAATATGAACTAAGTTTCGAGATGTCAATCAAAGAATGAATATTATGTATGTTCAATTGCATTGGAAAATCTAAACGTTTGTTTAATTGATTAATATGCTTAGTTAATTCATTATAAAGACTTAAAGGGCTAATCACGCTAGGATGCAAAACATTTACCTTGGAAAATAAAATAGCATTTATAGTTATGTCTAGTAAGTTAGAAATAGCAAGTAAGGAGCCTTCAATTACGTTTAGTAAATTATTTATCCTAGAAATGTGAAGTAGTAAGTTATCGGTTTTTGTAATTTGTGACAAAATTTCATTCATTTTATTAATTTGGGAATTTAATTTTAATTCGTTTTGATTTAATTTATAAATAGTGGCATTAAAATTATTTATAGTGGATTTAATTATATGAATATTATCTCTGAATAGATTAAATAGTTCCGTTTCACTTTTCCGACAGGATTCTATCGCGGCATCATATTTTCGCGCATCATCTGCGTCTAGAGTACCAAAGAAAAATTTAAGAATTTCGCCTCCAAATTCCAAAGATCTTTTGACATTGTTTGGCGATGGGTTATTATTGATTAAATGTGCTAGAGATTGCAATTTGACGTAATTATATTTTATTAAAGTCTCTATAGGAGTAGAGAAATCTTTACACGGGGAAAATTCGTCAGTATTTATTTTGGAACAAAGGTTTAAAGTATCATATAATAAATTTTCTATTTTATTGAGATAAGGATCTAAGGATATAAGGTCTATATATGTTATGACTTTCCAATAATCGTTATAAAAATTAATATGCGTAATAGGTTCAAAATAAATTCCAGGACTATGTGATATAGGTATGATCCTCGATTCAGCGTGGCTTTGGTTTCCATAGCATAAAGCTCTGAAAAAATATACAAAGTTAATTAAATTTAGGGAGTTTGAATAGCAGGCTTAATTTCGTTTGTATGGTACTTAACATGTTTACGACCTATTTGTAACGTTACGTTATGCTTATTATTTATTTTTATAATTTTATATGGGCCCTTCCATATAGGTGATAGAGCCTTACGGAGCCGGTGATGATGTTTTATATACACTAAGTCGCCAATTTTATAAGAAGTTTCACGTGAACTAGCGTCATAATATTGTTTCGATTTTTCTTTGCTATTAACTATATTTTGAATGGCCTTTTCTCTACTAAAACGCATTCGATATTGTAAAGCTCGAATATATTCATTATAGGTTGTATTATTATTTGTTTCATATAGGGAATTTGGAATGTTAGGTTTATAACCATATAATAATTCATGAGGGGTGAAATTAGTGGTGCAATGTGGAGTGGTATTATAAGCTAATATTGCGGTAAATAGATAACAATGCCAATCATTCTGGTTTTCGTTTACGAAAGATTTTAGGTATTCTTTTAAAGTAGCATGTAAGCGTTCTAGGGCTCCATTTGTTTGTGGGTGATAAGGAGTGGTAAATAAGGTTTTAACTTTTAGAATTTGAGTCAGTTGTTTAAATAAATCGGACGTGAAACATGTACCCAAATCTGTTAAGATCGTTTTAGGAAAACCGAAAAGAGACATAAAATGTACGAGATTTCTGGCTATTTCTTCACTGGTAGCTGTGACCAGGGGATAAGCGCTTGAAAATTTAGTTAAATCGTCTTGCAATGTAAGGATAAATTTGAATTTTTGGAAACCTGCGTCGGGCAAAGGACCAACGATGTCGAGAGCTAATCGTTCAAAAGGTCTAGTAGAAGTGGAAGTTATCTCCATTGGAGCCTTATTGGACATTCTCAGCGGCTTATTAATTTGGCATAATTGGCATTTCTTAACGTAATCTACAATATCAGAGCGCATACCCTTCCAGTAGTAGGCGGCTTTAATTCTTTTATACATACGATTTGATCCTGGGTGACCCGCAATAGGTGAATCGTGATTCTCTTTTAAAATTTTAGGGATTTCGATGGGAGTAGGGTAAATTAACCGATTTTTATAAATATGAATTTTAATTTTGACGACTCCATGGCGCAGTGGCTTAGCAATGAGTGGCTGCGCTGGGGGTCGCGGGTTCGAATCCCGCACGGAACAAGTATTTGTATGGCCTACATATAGTTGTACCGGGTCTGGATGTTTGTCCTTGTGCAATTTATGTTTGTAAACTGCCCCCACGATACAAGAGAAAATCTTAGTGTAGGGGTAACGTTTTTTTAAAAGAAAAAAAAAAAAAAAAAAAATATTTGTGCTATGGAAAATATAGGCAATCATATTATATACCTTAATATAACCTAACTTAGAAAATGGGTCTGAAAAGTCTGACAAGGCGAGATCTGTGATATCGGGATTTTCGACTAAAATTTTATCTCTAAGTTTTATCATTAAATTGTAGATGTCTTTAAATTTGGTTTCTTCATAATGGTGAACTTTGGTATATAAAAAATAGAAGTATTTATTCTTATCTTTAACACATTGAATTGTAAAAGGTTCGCGTTCGGAATTCAGCAATTCCTCCGGCTTATCTAACTGCGATAATATTTCTTCACAGTGAGGTATAGATGAATCGAAATCTAAAGAGACCGGACACGCGATATGTTTTAACTTAGACAAATGTAATCCTTCAGTGCATTCTATAATTACTGTATTTGAAATAGGAGTTTTATTGGAGAATTGATCCTTAAAATATTTTTCATAACTAGAGTTATTTAAGGTGTTAATGTCTATAACATTAACGGGACAGCGAGATAACGCATCAGCATTGGAGTTTAAACGGCCTTGTTTATAAATGATTTCGTAGTCATATTCTTCGAGTTTTAGGCGCCAACGAATGAGTCTACTGCCTGGGTCTTTGACATTAAATAACCATACTAGTGGTCTGTGGTCGGTGACAATTTTAAATTTATTACCGTAGAGGTAAGGGCGAAATGTTTTAACTGCGAATAAAATGGCTAGGAGTTCTTTTTCGGTAGTTGAATAATTACCTTCGGCACGATTTAAGGTGCGCGATGCGTAAGCTATTGGCTTATCCTTGCCGACAGGACCTTGGGATAGAACTGCACCCACGGCGTAATTACTTGCGTCTGTGGTTACTATGAAGGGCTGAGAGAAGTCTGGGTATTGGAGCAGCGGAGCAGTGATTAATTTTTCTTTTAGAATATCGAAAGCGGTTTGTTGTTCTAGGGACCAGTGGAAAGAAGCGTCCTTTTTTAATAAAGAAGTAAGAGGTTTCGTTAATTTGGAAAAATTATCAATAAATCGGCGATAATAGCCTATTAAGCCTAGGAAGGATTTAATTTCTTTAGGATTCTGAGGAATTGGGAATTGCGATACTGCTTTTACCTTGTCTGGATTTGGAGAGACACCTTTGTCGGTGATAATGTGACCAAGATAGGTTACTTCACGTCTTAAGAATTCGCACTTGTCTGGTTGTAATTTTAAATTGTATTCGCGGAACTTATCAAACACTAATTTTAACTTTTCCATATGTTGATTCAAATTTTGACTATAAATTATACAATCATCTAGATATACATAGCAGTGTAGACCTTGTAGTCCTGATAAAACAGTATTCATGAGTCGCTGGAAGGTTGAGGGTCCATTTTTCAAACCAAAGGGCATTCTAGTGAATTCATAGTGTCCAGACATGCTAGAGTTAGTACTAATAGTAAATCCCGTCTTTGGAGCATCTTTAGCATCCATCTTTATCTGGTGGAAACCGCTAGCAAGATCGAGAGTTGTAAAATATTTCGAATGGCCTAATTGGTCTAGGATATCAGTGATAAGAGGCAGCGGATAACTTTCTGAAACCGTGATATCATTGAGGCGACGATAATCAATGACTATTCTCCACTTTTTCTTGCCAGAAGCGTCTAATTTTTTCGGAACTACCCATACCGGGGCGCTCCAAGGCGAAACAGAGGGACGGATTATATTCTGATTTAGCATTTTGCGAATTTGTGTATCAACTTCTTCCTTGTGACACTCGGGGAAGCGATACGATTTTACGTGAACTGGGGGTGCGTTACCCGTATCTATGGAGTGTTGGATGCCATTCGTAAAAGAGAGGGGCTCACCTTCGAGGTGAAAGATATCCGTATAATCGGAACAGCAATTGAGAAGTGCTTTCTTTTCTTCATCGTTGAGATGAGAGCAGCGTAAAAGACTTAATACTCGATTCATTCGATCAGATTTGGGAGTCGAGACGGAATACATAGATTTACTAGGTATTGAATTTTCGCAGGAAATAGAATTATCGTAATCTATAGGTGTTAATTCTACGGAATAATCTTTAATTTCTATGTCTGTATCAGTCGTATTTAAAACAGTGATGTTAACCATTTTATTTGGTTTTACCGATACTATACAATTAGCGACGTAAACACCCTTGCTTAATGTGTGATCTAGAACTAAGGCTTCATTATTCCGATAAGTCTCGAGCGAGTAGTTTGATATAGTGCATTCAATGACTGCTTCTGAGCGTGCTGGAACGGTGTAGGTTGGCTGGTGAAATATAATAGGAACTTGGTGACTGCAAAGAGTCATTATCTTAGAACTATAATCTATATTAGCATTAAAATATTTAAGAAAATCTGTACCGATAATACCGTCGTAATTAAGGTTTATGCTATCGTTAATGACATAAAATTTGTGCTCGTAAGTTTCATCACTTAATAAAAATTGCAAGTAGATTGAGCCTATTGTTTCGCTATACGTATCCGTATCATTTATACCTTTGATTCTTACCTTGTCCTTAAGAAGTTCATGTTTCGTTTTTAAACATGAGTGTTTTATGACACAAACGCTTGCACCGGTATCGATAAGAAGTTTGAGACACTTAGGAGAATATTTTGTTAATAAATTCGTGTATGGTAACGAAACCTTGCATGTATTTATGCTCGTTTCAAAAATAGGAATAGAATTAGAATAAGACTCATTAAAACTCGGCTTAACCTCTTTGGGCTGCTGAGATGTAGATATAGTAAACGACTTAGTAAGACTCGGTTGTACCTTTTCGGTCAACTGAGGTGCATGAGAACTAGTAAGACTCAGCTTCACCTCCTTGGGTTGCTGAGATGTAGATATAGTAAACGACTTAGTAAGACTCGGTTGTACCTTTTCGGTCAACTGAGGTGCATGAGAACTAGTAAGACTCAGCTTCACCTCCTTGGGTTGCTGAGATGTAAATGAATTAGAATGACTCGGTTGCTTGTTAATGCATCGCCGAGATGAATTAGAATTAGAATAAGATTTAGCATTATTTTTGTAAAAGTTAGTAGAAATAGTATTATTAATTGTTTTCGTGTCATTACCACAGTACGATTTCGGCAGACACGTATCCGAAATCTTATTTAGTTTAAAGAGTTAGAATTATCGATAGTGTCGTCGTTATTACATGTCATGTGCATAGGCACAGAGTTAGAACTAGAATTAGGGTTAGGGTTACGGCTTACAAAATTAGAATTATTATTTGAGCTACGATTTATATAGTTAGAACTAGTATTAGGGTTACGATTAAAATTTTTACTAAAATTTTGACGATGTTGCATATTATATTGTCGCTTTCTACATTGATCAATAGTGTGCCCTATGTTTTTGCAATAGTTGCAAATTAATTTATCAGAATTAGAACTAAATAAATGAGAAATTTGTTTATTGTGTTTAAAATTAGAATGGTTCTTATTTTTGAAACATTGCGTAGCGACATGACCTACTTTATTACATATATTACACTGCTTCATTGAATTTTTTGAACACATTTGAAGATTCTGTAATTTTTCTTCATCTATGGCTAATTGAACAGCTTCGTTTAAAGTTTGAGGATTTCTACACCTAACAATAGTAGAAATAGCAGGGTTTAACCCTAATAAAAATGTGTTTAATGCTAGGTCCTCCATGGCGGCTATTCTACCTGGAAGTTCGTCAGGAATTTTGCAGCTATAGTGTATATCTGACTGAATTTTTGTTAAAATTTGTTCTAATCTTAAAGAAAATTTAGTAACGTCGTCGGAAGACTGTTTGCAATTTTGCAAATCTGATAATAAATGTGTTGAGTGTTTTTTCTCCCCAAAAGTAGAACGAAGAAATGACTTTATTTGGTTCCACGTTTCAAAACTTTTTTAAACTACATGCGACCTGAGCTTTTCCCTCTAGCTGTGAGATAATAAATTTGCACAAAATAGGCTGTTGTTCTGCCGTAGCTAACGACATTTCATTATCACAGTTGGTAAGAAAAGCGGGGAGAGATTCCTTCTCCCCATTATAAGATTTTATAAATTTCGTCAAAAACGAAAGTGTGATTTTTTTCTGACATATTGTCTTTACTTTTTTCTGCTTTAAGCGACATAGAAATAAAATTAAAATTTGAAGTTATATAAGATAATCACAATAAAATGAAGTAAAAAAGGTTATAGTACAAAATAGTGTAAAATAAAGGTAAATTTTATAAATTTAATTTACAAAACAAAACGACTTACAGGAAAATAATAACTTCTATACGTTGCATTTACTCGTAACAATGGCTCGGTGACACGTTACACTCGTGGCGGCTGGCGGGCGGAATCGCTGACACGGTGACTTCGTCGCGTCGTGGGAAATGGTAGGAATGAAAGATGTAGAATATTCTTCAGAAAATGTTTTTATGTTGGTGAGTTAGACCCAGCTGGTGCGGGCTCCTGGTGGAGGCTGATCGTCGGCCAGACGGGTGATTTCAGGACCAGATGTGAATGGAGCGGGCTCACGCTTCAGAGCGGAGGCTGATCGTCGTCCAAATTGTGGTAGGCGCAGGCTTAGGCACGGCTAAGGCTTAATGTCGACCTTGGTGATTTCGGGGACCTCGGATTCGGATGCCAAAGTCTTTTATGACCTTTTGTTTGGCATCCCACTTCTGACACCAATTTGTTATGAGGCCGATCCCGTTTGACTTTTTAAAAAAGAAACACCAAATAAACCTAAAGGTTTATTGCAAAAAAAAAAGTTCACACCAAATTAATATAGTCCTTGACTTCCGAACTCTAATAAGTCTCGGAATCTATGTCCGATCTACCCGGGGCTCTGAGTCTAACTGAACTTTAAAAATGGAAAGAAACAATATATAACAATATAATTGCTGACTATAGCTATATTAAGGAAAAGTACCGTGTGATTCAATGAATGCTTACTAATATTTTGTTGTCTTGTAAAAAAGGGATATAACAGAACGTATACGTGTTGAAACCACGAACCCGGGTTACTCGCGTTCTGTTATATTTACAGCGAGCGTTAACCATCTGAGCTACCACGGCTCTACATGGGCATAGTAGTGAACCTGTATGATTACAGGTTGTGAGCTATTGCTTCTCAGCCTTCAGAGTTGAATTTGACTGCAGGTGTCCACGGATTGCTGTAACCACTTAGGATTAGGTGGATTTCTAGATTTGTCACATTAGTCAATAAACAATCTATGTTAGGACCTAGTTTAAAAACGGCATATGAATTTCTAGTGTAAATGGTTCGTACATAGTGAATAAAAAGGTTGCTACAAATAACTGCAATATACCAGTAGCGAAGTTGACCGGATCATAAACTTTTATGGAACAATTTGTAGTTCAACGACTATGTACACCCCTGTAAAGTTTTACGACCATTTCTACATTGAAATGCATTTAAAATCAATCACTTCTGAAATAATGATAATATGCCAACGGAAAAAGTAAAAACTGCGTCTTACGACATACAAACCTATCCCATTCCAGGGAGATCTAAGGAAGGTGGACGTTATATCCACCGAAACATTTCACCGTCGCAATGATAGACGTTTCTAAGCAACTGTACCGGAAAGAATATCGACATCAATGGCGATTACATGACTCAACTTCGATTTGCCGACGATACAGCACGGCACGGCAGTATTTCTTGAGGACCTCGGTACTAAGCTCGATAACAGCTGTAGTGTCAAAGGATAAGTCTTAAGAAAAACATAGAGAAGTCAGAGATTAAGGGTAAACTTCATGTTACAACTATACCGGTAGTTACTGAGAGCACAAGCGTTAGTTAATGGGCACGATTTTCCAGAAAATAGTAACCGACTAACTAGTATAACTTCGACCGAGAGTTTAATCGACGGATCCAACTCGGCTGGATATTTTATGGGAAATTACGACACGTCTCCTTGTCACGTATAGCTCAAAGCTTGAAAACATGAGTGTAAAATCAGTGCGTATTACCAGCGATGACATAGGTGTCAGCGACCTGGTCTTTAACTGCAGTCTATATGAGAAATCTCAAGGTCGCTCAGAGAGCCATAGAGGGGGCTTTTTTAGTTTTTCTGCATGATAAAACTTCGTTATTAGGATATCCGCAGTTGAACCAGTGTTTTCGACATAGCTAAACCACCGATGGAAAAAAAGACTCTGGAGTTGCAGTCTTGAGCTGGTAAGCTGTAGCGCTGCCTCGCAATAGATGAAGTGGCGACCTGATAAGAGATGCAGGAAGTCAATGGTTACAGGTGGATCAGGATCGTACTTTATGGTATTCCTGAAAAGGCCTATATTCAGCAGAGTTCTTGTCATGGCCTGTAATGATGATGATAAATGACCAACTCTGTGATAGCGCTTACGAACACAAGGTCCTGGGAGACAAAACTAGAACGATGTTGCTATTGCGGCCAAAAAAGTACCAGTTTATTATTGGCAAAGACCTTTTCTTTCAAAGAGAATATTTGCCATAATTACTACACTTGTGGATTGTTACCCGCAGTTCTAGATGTATACTGTTGTCGCTGCTCCCCGTCATCGATCAAAAATGTTATTTTTATATCTATAATCAATAGTTCTACTTTAGTAAATCATTTCAGTTTACAGTGATAGGTAGCTTACACGTGGCTATTCAATCACTTTTCGGAAAGTTAGTATTATATTTTGAAAGTCGAAGAATGTGGGTTAAGAATGATCGAGTTAACCATCACGTGCATCTTGTATGCCGACGATCAAGTTATATTTGCGTCATTGATGGGCGAGTTGCAAATAAAAGCTAAAGAAATAACAGTTTCATTAAAAGATAAGAATTTTGATACGACCTAGGGACCTTCAAGAAAAGATTTTACTTCTTTATAAAGGGCCGGCAACGCACTTGCAATTCCCCTGGTGTTACGGTTGATGGGCAGCGGTAGTCACTTAACATCAGGTGAGACGCATGCTTGTTTGCCCTCTCTTCTATAAAAAAAGGAATGAAAGTTAATGCAAATGAGGACAAAGTTATGGTTTTAAAAGAGAAAAAAGTAAGACGATAAGTAAAACAAGAATAGTACGAAATACCAGCGCTCTAAAAAAGAAGTATAATTCCGCCTCTAGGTCCATCAAAAGAGTCATTACCAAGGCAAAGTCAGGGCACATAGGCAGAATTGGCGAGAAACTAGTTTGCCTTCCTTCTGGAACCCGTGCATTCTGGTCTCTCGCCAAGGCTGTCCAGGGGAATTTCTGTCAGCCATCTCTTCCATCTCTGCACAGGGAGGACGACTCACTGGCCCATACCGCAAAGGAGAAAGCCGATCTTCTAGGCTCTTTCTT